CTAGTCACCATTCGTGCATTCAGCAAAGCGGATATCTATACGGGCATGATCTACAAGAGAATCAACGCGCACGCGCAAGCCTGGTGGGCTATGCTGCTGTTCAACCGCTGGCTGGCCTTCCGCATGAGCGTCGTTGGGGCACTCTTCGCCACCTTGACTGCGGCTCTGATTGTGAGTCTGCCAAGTATCTCGGCCTCACTCGCCGGGTTCGCCCTTAGCTTCGGGTTGCTATTCAACACAGCAATTGGTATGGCGCTGCGGAGCTATGCAGATGTCGAACTCAGTATGAATGCGACCGAACGAGTCATCGAGTATTCCAAGATTGAGCTCGAGAACCAGGGCGGCGTTGAACCTCCCGCGGCGTGGCCTACCGAGGGTCGTCTGGAAGTCCAGGATCTGGTCGTAGGATATGCGCCTGATTTGCCTCCAGTTCTTAAGGGATTAAGCTTTGCTGTTGAGAAGAACCAACGAGTTGGCGTCGTTGGCCGCACGGGTGCTGGAAAGTCGTCATTAACCCTGGCTCTGTTCCGGATCCTCGAGGCCCGCGAGGGTAAAGTCTTAATTGATGGGCTGGATGTTGCGAAGCTTACGCTGCACAGCCTGCGCACTCGGCTCGCTATCATCCCACAGGATCCAGTCCTTTTCTCCGGAACCGTGCGGTTCAACCTTGACCCTTTCGAGGAGTACACCGATGCAGAACTCTACGATGCTCTGGCACGCGTGCATCTCATTTCCCAGAACGACGAAGAGATCGCTGCAGCTGCCGACACAACAAATCCAATGCATCGTCCAAACACGAACAAATTCACCTCGCTGTCTGCTCCAATCTCAGAAGGGGGTCTGAACCTGTCACAAGGCCAGCGTCAACTGCTCTGCCTCGCACGCGCGATCGTATCGCGCCCGAAAATCATGTTTTTGGACGAAGCCACATCGGCTGTGGACATGGAGACGGATGCCCTTATCCAGCAGTCCATCCGCGCCGAGTTCGGACGCAACAACACCACGCTCCTGGTAATCGCGCATCGACTGAGTACTATCGCAGACTTTGACCGCATCTTGGTGATGGATGCTGGACGTGCCGTCGAATTTGGAGCCCCCAAGGAGCTACTGAAGATTGAAAATGGAGTGTTTAGGAGCCTGGTAGACAACAGTGGCGAGAAGGAAGTGTTGGAAAAGATTATTCTTCGGAATGACTAGACAGCCTCCAGCACATCTGCTCTTCCAAGATCTGATAAAATTGATATATGTATCCAGTATCTAATGCCCACCAACCTAGATTCACTCTCGTGCGTATTGCAAGACTGCGGGCATATATGGGCTCGAGTAAAGAAAAGCGGGAAGCAAGAACCACACAACGAAATTGATTGTCTACCTAGTAACGATCAAGATAATCCAATCAAAGTCGACCCCTGCCCTACAGGTCGCATGCAACCCCAGCCTCATACCCAATCATCTTCTCCAGCGCCAACCCGGCAAGCTCCTGAGCATGTATAGATACCAATCCTCTCCTCCTTCGCCACGTACGGAAACTGTTCCTTCCACTGCTGCCGCCGGTGTCCACTCCACATGTCCGACCGTTTAGTGATCCTCTCCCGCTTCGTGCATTGCCGGTAAACATAACGCCCTACTTCGGGTCGAGGCAGCCACTGCACACTAGCAATGACCCATCCCGCCAGCCATCGAAACCCTTGATCCTTGTTGTTGAGCCCTTGTTGATCCTCGGAGTCATCGTCATTCAGGCCCTTAGGGTACCAGGAATACGTCGGCAGAATTGTCTCCAACGAGGAGATCCACCCGGAGTCGATGAGATCTAAGGCTGTGATGCGGGCGACGGCGGACAGAAGTTCCGCAATCGGAGGTCTGTCTCCATGAATGGTAGACGTAGTCGCTCAGCTGAGGCCGGATGGTAAATGTACGCTGGAATTATAGTTAGTAGTGGGGTTCTTGAAGTAGTGAAGGTAGAGCCCAAGGGAAGAGAAGGGTTACGGTGATGGAACAAAACCCAGTCGGGAATGCATAGAGAAACAGACCACCTTACCATCACCTCTAAAGCGAGCAGTCATCTCCAGAGACAACCAATTGGCTCTTAGCGCTTCCAGAAAGCCGATTATACGATCTTGACCAATATGCCCCGGGGACAAGCCGAGCACAGCTTGAAAACCCAGTACATAAGCATCTCAATATGACCCCCAAGATTCGGGCAATGGGAGCTTTGCGCGAATCTCTTTGGGAAGCCTTTCGAAGTTGAAAAAATATGCTCGGTGGACTTCATAAACTCGTTCGGCTTCTTGAGTTATGTATACATCGATGTCCGTTGCTGCCTGTTCTGGTGTGATGTCACCGTCGGCAACAGCGGCCAGTCTGCTTTTATAGAACAGATCCTCTTCATCATCATGATGTTTGAATAGGTTGAAGTCTAGGACTGTGTCGAAGTCGAGATTCTGATACTGGCTGAAAAGGACATGACGGGCGATAGTATCTTGAATTACTAGGAAAATTGGGAAGGTTGGTTCAAGAAGGAAGTGTGTCTTGATAGGGAGATGACTTCAGAAGGCTGACTGAATGAATAATAGCTGATAACTTTCTTGGTTGTGGCTTGGATATAGTAAGCACTAATTAGTGAATGCAGGCCGGTTGAGTGTTCGGGCCATCCTTCCCGCTTGGGTGGTGAATCCGCCGCAACAGGCACGAGCCCACTAAAAGCAAGGTTCACTCAACAGTTTTTTATAATATCAGTCTCACTTGACCCACTGTGTATGACAGTGCTATAGGGTCCGTTCCGAGGGCGCATATCCGAGCATCCGGTGAGATTTCGCCCCAAGCTTTGGACCCCAGATGTCCCTGGCTCTCTACTCGGCCCCCGCGTGTTCTGCCCTCAAAACAACCATGTATACCTCAAACCAGCAGGTTACCTCGAGTGTCTTCCAACCGGAAAGCCAAGTTGACCAGGGGGGTCTTGTGTTTGATGTCTCAAATGTAAGCACCGAAACACCAGTAGTCGGCAGTCATCTCTTTCCAAGAGTTGCTCTGGACTACCTAACAGATAATACTTGTCGCCCATTGGCGAGTTCGACTATTCGGGTCGATACTGCTGATATCCATGGTATCGCATTGTGTCTTGCTCGGTATTTCACCTTTGTGGAGCTGGATTGACTATCATAATATACAGTAATCTGGTAGTCATGGATGGCCCTTCGTCGGTGGAATATACATAAAACCCAGAAGAGTCTCTCTCTACACAGCTTTTCGTTCTGATTTTTTTTGTTCTGCTTTTTCGAATATACCGATATCCGTTGCATCCGGATTTCTCTTCCCTGCGTCGCGTACTGTATATAAAATAGACATTGAGTTGTATGCTGCATTCTCGCTTGTTGCCGTAATGATTAAATCATTCTTTTTTCCTAAATCTTGCTTGGTTGATTGGCATTCCTGACCGTCTCATTGCCCATATAATACAAGTCTACATTAGTATAATGCAGTCCATGCTCATGCCAAGAGAATATCCGGTATGTCTCATTCAGGCGCGCTCTCTTTCAACTTTCGTAGTCATTGGTTCTGACGCGCAAATAGCAGGTAGACAAGACTTGAGAGTTTACACCCAGGTTGCTGGTTCGGCCATCTGCAAGTGAGTCGCACGCCGGCCGGAGTGTAAATACTTCTCCGAGAGAGGAAAAATTCAAATTATCTTCATGCTACTCATCAACGTGAAATCTCGGTGCAAGCCTACATACGTGGTTTCTAGACCACAGTCGGGGAAGAAGACTCAGCTGGAGGCCGCGGGGCAGAGATGCTACGGGGCGGAACGAAGAAATCACGTTTTCTCCCAAGCACTCCCAACTGTTACAGTGTCTACAAGGAATGGCCGCGACCCTCGCGTGCAGTTCCTCCAATCGAAGATCTTGTACATGATACAGCACCCTCTTCACCGTCCGCATACTCGGTCAGCACCGTCTCGTGTATTTCGGTCGCCATGGGTTTATCCTGCCGTTCTGTGTTCGAAGAAGGCCGAGAGGGCCAGCCACCCCAGCGGAGCTCAAGGGCTGTAAGATCGAAAAAGGCTCATCATGACCTGCCCCACGAAAAAAGCTGCTGTTGACTGCGGAAAGAGTACGTCTTTTCAGACCTCAAAGTGTGCGTCGTTCCCAGTTCTGGGGTCAGGACACTGACGCCCTTCCTTGAAGACGAACGGGACAAGCGCCGGAGCGATCGAGATCCTCTCCCTTTCTCTGGCGCCGAAAAAGAACGGAAGCTGTGCACACAGCGGTAGTAAGAATACCAAGATGTAGAAGTTTTGAACACTTCAGAACACCCGCTACAATAGCCGAACCTAGGGCTTCAAAAGGCTAAGGCTCGAGGCACGTCAAAGCAGAATGAACACACCCAAAATAGTGAGAGGCAAAACTACAATGGCCTCCAATCCCATCTCCAGCTCAGGTTCGTCGAGCGCGACGTGAGTTTCAAGAAAAACCATATGAACATGTTCTTCAAGGGAAACCGTTCTCGAGACTAGATTTGCCGTTGGCCAAAAGCATCTTCGTATCAGAGGTGGTAATCCTGACAGCGTAGCAATTCTCAAACACAGTGAGGGGTGACATCGTGGTGCGCCTCACATGAGAAGACACCGGAGTCCATCAGCCCCAGCCTTGCCAATGCCGTTAATGATGGTGGCAATGAAGTCTGTGTTCGGGATATCCGCCGTTGATTGCTTGAGACAAGTACAAAGAACACGTAAAAAGTTTTTCAGAGAGAGAAAGTCTTTCCAGGAGCAGGCATATGCACTCGATCAGTCGCGGAGAAAGCACGTATAATGGTCAACGTTCAATGAGATGGATGATGGCAAAGGAAGTTAGAGAGCACAAGGCCGACAATTTAAACAACAGGATGAGCCTCTGTTTCTTTGAGCAAGTGCTCTTCGGCCGCCTGCAGGACTTCAATCATCGACGTGTATAAGCCCTCGTCTTCTGACTTCCACATTCGGCCACCAGGAAACACGACTCGTCTCAACCTGTCGCCAGAGTTTCCATTCTAAGAAAGTTCCATTCGTCAAATTTTTCCACGACATTCCCATGGCCCGGGCCATGGTAGTGAACTGCAAATCCAGAACAGAACCCAGAAGGACTCCACGTCATGCATAAAGCTGTGTTGCTCCCCAAGAAGCGCCCCGACCGCCATGAATGCTCAAGTTCCTGTCTTACCTTGGGCACCAGAAGCCTTGGCCCGTGACTCCTTCACGCTCAAGTCGAGGTCAATGAGGAATCCCTGCCACTGGGCGTCGTCCTGCTACCATCATATTGTTGACGGAGATATCCCGATGTAGTAGCCCGGCCTCATTGCGTAATGAGTGGTGTCCCTGGATGCAGCCTACGAAGGCCCGAAGAAGGACCGGAGGGGAACTTGCCTTGTAGATCGGCTCGCCGTAATCCCTGATCACCACTCGGCGGTGAATCCGGTTGGGCTGGGCGTTCCGGACAAGACTTAGCGATGCCGATCCGGATTGATGTCGCTTGCGAGGCGATAGCGCGACACGGGCAGGACTGGAGGATCGTTTTCGGCCCACGATGCTGGTGCTACTGCGGCCTTTCTGGGGGCAGATCATTGTCCGGGGACTCGGTGTGTCCGAGGAACGACCAGACGGATGATTCTCCGCCGTGGTAATGTCTGATCCTTTCCGGACATTGTGTCGGATATCATCATCGGTGCCTAACACCTGCACCGTCTCGTGATGGTGGTACCGAGCAACGTTGACCACCCCCAACTCAGTCGTCTTTTGCAATAGCTTACCCTCATTCGCCCGCTCCGTGTATCGCCAAGAGTCTTTCACAACCAGAGGTTGATCGGGAGAGGCTTCCAGATGGGCCTTCCAGCAAGTGGTTGCTCGACCGGCTACACACGCGGCGCGCCGGATCACTCTGTCTATGATAAGGCACTCTGTCTGATTTCGACGTTGGATGTTGATTAAATGCCAGCCTTTATCTTTAGAGATGGTTAGATCAAAGCCCAAGTCCCCATCGCTCATCCAAAGAAAGCCAAGAATTGTTGAGACAAACCGAAGTGCGTCTTTATGTATGTCGAACTTGTCGGATGCGATGCCCCCCAAGCGGTCATACTCTCAGATCCTCATATAGGGTCCACAGAGAGTGAAGCCTATAACAAAGCGCCGGGTATCTTGAGCTGCCAGGACCTCTCGCGCATATCTCCCCAAGTCCAGCCAGGCCTTCGAGTGAATGTCGGCCGCCGGATTGCTTTTGAGCTCACCGGATATTAAAATCTCCCGCAAATGGCACCGGGGAGCCCGTGGCACTTCAACTATCACTGACGCTCACTAGGCCAACGTCAATCCTGCGTTCAGCCGTAGACCTTCGATTGGGGTGTTGGGCTGGGCAAGGAGTCGCCGTCGAACGGACGGGGTTGCTGGGTTGCTTTCGGCCAAAGCTGCGAGCTTGGTGATGATATTGGCCAGCCAGATCATAACACCGGCTTGATTTGTGTCGTTCGACCACCCTACCCATCGGCCCTCCTCCAGAAGCTGTTCATCACCCTCCCTACATTGGGCCAGTACGGCGCCCGCAGCAGCCTCGAGACCGGCAATGCTCCCAAAGAATCGTTCACTGAAACCCGCAAGGCTCACATAGAGAACGCCAAGTTCTGCCTTGAGCACGCGACCCACATCTTGGCGATATTCAGAGGAGTTGGCAAAGGCGCTGGTATTGGACCTCCATGGAGTCTGTGAGAAGGAGGAAGCAGTCGGTCGAGGCGGGGGCGTCGATTCGAGCACGGCACGGTAGACCAGCTGCCAGATGAGAATGTCGTCAGGTACGGTGTCGGCCAAGGCCCCTTCTAAGAGTGGCTTGATCTGGTCGAGGTGGAAGTCGTCGGATTTAATGGCGGTGCTGAATCTTGAAAGATCGTGGTAGAGGTTCTTGCCGGGTCCACTGGCTGGGAGGAGGCGAGAGGCTTTGCAGCTTTGAAGTGCTAAAATCAGATCTAAAGAGAGGCCCTGGGCATCTGCAGCACGAGGAGATGAGAACAGTTAGTCCGAGAATCGAATGGGGGAAGTGGCCACTGCAGCTGTTGGCTATGTCTCTATCTACCTTCACTTGCTAATTGGTGGAGCGCGTCCTGCGGGCACGGGCAGGAGATGCCTTTGCTAAGGCAGGGGGACTTGAAAGAGGAGCGAACATAATCAAGGCGTGACCCAATGGGATTGGATTGGATGATTTTCAAGTGGAGATCATCCAACATCCTGGCACCATGATCATGGAGAGGAGATGGGAAGAAGGATGAGGAGGTGGAGATGGCGATGGAGATGGTGCCGGTCGCGTGTTGTGACATTTTCGCGTTGATGAGTCAGCCCCGGCCGGTTCTTTTCCTGCTCCCTTTATACTGCTTTAGACAGGTACCTCACTCAGGGTTGCATTTATATCCTGACTAGGTACACCATCACGTAATGATCAAGTAATTATCAGGTAGCCCAATACAAGCATTTGAGGATTTGAAACGCCGATGTTGACAGTTCAATACTACTACTCCCACTACCACCACTACTACTACCCCTACTACTACTAGCCTATAGGTTAGTAGTACTCCCCCCCATAATAGACATTAGGAGTTAGGTAAACTGGTTAGCCCGCATTATTGGGAAATATAAAGACAGAAAAGTAAAAACATCACAGGTTCCTTCTTCCTGGTTCTGAGAGGCCTGTCTTGATAATGCCCAAGGATGTATAGAAGGCACCCCCGATGATTAGAAGCATCGACATCCAAGTACCACTAAATGTAACTAGTACTGTGCTGTAAGCTACGAGAAATCAGCTCAATCGAATTAGGGGCTACTCAGAATTCTCCCGAGCAACCGGACAACATTGGCTTTATTAAGCGGTTTACAGCTAGCTTCCAGCTGAAAGCGGGGTAACGTATTTGTCTCAACAACACCTTTTCCACCCCGCGACCACAGCAGGTCACAGAACGTGCCGGGTTGTGTTCGGTTCAGCTATATCACAATGGGTGATACTCCACGTCCTAAGAAGAGCAGTCAGTAGTTAGAGGTATCACTGTTGAGCGCTGCTAATTGGCAATCATCAGCGCCACGTTCAAACGTTTTCAAGGCCTGTGAGAGCTGCCGACAGCGTAAGGTGAGATGTGATGGTCAATTGCCCTGTCAAGCCTGTGTCCGAAGATCTATCCCCTGCTCTTTCCGCAAAAGTGCCAGAAGGCAACTGTCAAATCCCATCCAGGAAGTGCCGACTGCACCCAGCGCTGGCAATCGCATGCTCCTTGTTAGAGATAATTGCGGTGCACAGTTCGCGTCATCAGTCCTGCCGTGGAGACTCCGACACCAGAACCATCTGAACTACATCTTGGATGCTCTCCAAATCAATGATGGCCCGCACGGACGGGGAAGAATCACGAGAACCTTTACCTCCACGTCCACAGTCACCGTACTGAATGTGATATTGGACTTGATCGCCCGACCGGACAGCCCTTCCCCCAATAACCTGGCAACCGAATCCCGAAGCAAACCCCATACATATGTTCTAGAATATTTACGCCAGGCGATTGTGGGATACGAGGCCCTCCCGCCGCCGCCCTTCAGCCCTAGTCCGCCAGGCCCGCTGGATACAGTCCCGCTACAACTCCAGAGCCTCCTGCTCGAGCGATACATCGCAATGTCCTGGAAGACACTCCCATTTCAGTCCCCCCGGAGTCTTCGTGCACGCCTTTCCTGCCTTTTCGCTCTACCAGTATCACAAATGCAGGTTGAAGATCACGCTCTTCGTGCCATCATGCTGCCCCTCCTCGCTATTGGCTCCATTACAACCGGCTACGCGGAACTGGGAGAGATGCTTATTAGTGAGGCACAGAGGAATACAATCACACTATACTATATGGGTGATGTTCTAGCTTTACAGAGTGATTTGCTGATGATAAGTGGCTGCACATTATCTCTGGCTCACAGAAACGTTGCTGACTGCGGGCGGCCACATCCAGTATTGGATCGACTCAGGCTCCTTCGAATCCGCCTATTTACGGCTGGGAACGACACTTGCGAAAATCCTGGCGGCTGGATTGGATCGACCAACTCGTTCAGCTCACGAACAGGCTGTTATCTCGGCTTTCTGCTGTAACGAAAGGTTGCTGATCCCATCCTGGTTGTAATAGCACGTTCCTGATCGCGATTGCGAATAGTCTTCTATGTGTCGTCCTAGGACGAGAAGCTGCCTTCTCTAGCAGCATCAGACATCTGCCGCAAAGCAACCATACCATCATTGGGTTCATGCACCCCTTCTATCGCATTCTTGCCGATATCCAGCGCCTTCACCAGCATAAAACCAAGGATTTTATGAAGCTATGGAATGCTTGCTGCGCACTTCGTCAGCGCCTTTTAGCCTTTTGGTCAATGGATGGTCCTTTTGATGATTCCTCGGATGGAGAGAATCTGAATATGGGCTCAGTCTGTAAGTGTTCTGAGCTCTTTGCCTGGCATTCTGAGGGGTTTCTCACTCACTCTACCGTGCTTCACTACTCGGTTCTTATCCTCTATCGACCATTTTTGATTCTTCGCGCGCTCGAGAACAATCGCGATGGTCATGGTGACTGGGACCTCAACAATAGTCCTGCAGGGAGGGAGAGGGTGGAGACCATATCTAAGGGGTGTCAGTACTCTATTGACGCTGCAGCGAAGATCATCTCTTTTTTTCGCAGGTTATATGAGACGGAATTTATACAGAAGGTCCAACCAAATGTGTGACTGTCCTCAGAACCTTCCTTTGTCTAACCTTTAACAGAACCTGCCTTTGAACGCCTTCTTCCTCGAGAATGCTTGCTATGCTTTGATAATTGACAGCCTGTGGGGCAATCGGAGATCGTTGTATCTTTCGCACATCCAAACCTGCTTGCACTGTATGGAGCAGACACAGGACCAACCAGTGACTTCCTCGCGACTTTCCATTACAAAGCACATTATCGGGAGAATAGGGATGTTTCCGGACAGCGATAACAGACTTTCAAGTCTCACGCTCTCTCAGTCTGGAATGATGTGGATGAACGAATTCTTGGAGAGCCACGTTTTCAGCGATTAAAGAACAATCCCCACCTGCTATATTCAATCCTGTCGGAGCTATACACTAAGAGGCTGTAGCTACACTGGAATGAATGTTCTTCTTGTTCCTTAGAATCCGAGGAAATGGGGGAACCCAGGATGGATCTGCTGATGGACCCACGATGCATAATCCATGCCATCATGGGGAGTTGAATTGAATCCTTGCTACTTTCCAGAAATATCCTGTACTGGGAGACTCAATTGCTTGATCCTCCTGCCACACGCTGCCATTGCTTGCTACACAACTTCGGCAGAATTTCTGTGGTAGCAAAGAATACCCCTAGGCTACTCTATACATGTTATATACTCCTCCGCATTTGCAATAACCCTCAAGGCCAAGCCGACTTCATGCCTGGGCCACTCAGATAGAGCATAACCTGCTGGCCTTGTAGCTTGCCGTTGTAACATTGAAAGACTTGGAGAGTCTCACCCGTGGCTGCGGTAGAAGCCAGCAGCGACGTGTTGCCTGGAGCTTGCTTTTTGCCAACCACTCGTCCTGCTGCGCCTGGGCCTCTTTCATATCGTTGGGTATGAAGGCAGAAATCTCCCCATATGGGCAGATCTTGCCTGGGATGATGGCGCCAGTAACAACGATACCGTATTGCTCATCAATGACCAGGTTGAGCCGTGCATCCGCATCAGCAGATCGATGCTGTCTCCAGCTACATCCCAGCGGAGTAGTCGACCCATCTCCATCCGGGCCAGGAACAATGACGCTCCAACCTTCTTCGGTAAATTGGCAATCGTCGGCGACGGTAACCGAGATCGTGTCATTTGGATTGAAGGTTGCTGCGCCGAGGCTTTCTAACACTGCGCGAGTCGCATTATCACGATCGGCTGGTGGCGACATCCAGCGCTCATAGTTCCTAGGCAGCTCCACGGCGGAGAAAGGGAAGCCGTGATCGCCGCGGGAGCGGTTCGCGTATAGCTCTAGCTGGGTGATTTGCTTGTCAACAACTTTGATCCAGGCCCATGCGACAGATTTATTCCCCTCGCTCCCTTCAGTGACGTCGAGAGAGAAGTACGCAGAGTCACTGATAGTTTCAATCGCTAGCAAGCTAGGCGAACCTGCGCTTGTGACGGTCCGCCAGAGAGTCATCATGCCCAAAGCTGCCGGGTGCGAGTTTTCGGTTGCCTAGTAGGTGGCTGCAAGCGGCAGGATGTTGGGATTATGCAACAGCATAGATGCCAGAACCTAATCAACAATGGTCGTCATGCACTCTCGCGAGCAGCTATCGTCAGAAGTCGTCGTAGAAATGCTCTTCCCGGCCAGACCGGCCACAGGCATTGTAACACCTCCCATCGCAAACGCGAAGGCTGCATCCGCTGTCGCCAATGATAACCTCATATTTAAGGTATATGGGTTATTAAGGTATATGGCGTAAGTAGAGGACATGGGAGATTGAATAGGGAACAGTTTACAACCCGGAGAAAGATACTGATAGAAAGCTGAGTGAATCCGGACTCACAGGCCAATAAATTACACACCTCTTATGTCCACCACATTGCTCTCCAGCATGTAACGATTGTATAAGTAGATCCTTTCATTTCGCGATGCCCACATTCCGAAAGCCCACTGAAGACAACGGGGCTTATTGGTAGCATTGCAATGAGCAAGGCCAGTGAGGGTCTTGGAGATTTACCCCGCATAACCCCGGGGTACGGAAACCTACAGCTTGCACATCGACCTCAAGCCTCATCCTGGGCAGTCTGAAGCTCGATGCTATTCAAATACGGCGACCAAGTATCCTGTAGTCGTCTCTTCACACGGTTTCCCACACTTAATCTTGGCAACTGAGCATAACCGCGTCCTTTATTTAGTATAGTACTACACAAAGATGTATATGTCTGGCATTGATTTGAGAAGGGTCGACGTAGGTTAGAGGGGGGAGAGATTATACTCGAGTCGCGGGAAGCGAGTTGTTCACCCGAGAAAAGCATCTTTCACGTTCAGTTCGGGGTTCTGAACTTGGAGGCTCGGAATTCGGTGGGTCTCGGATTTGTATGGATCCCGCGCAAGTGAGGGGTGCGGTGTGAGGCGTGATTTCTGGGCATTATTTCCCCACACTGCATACTAAAACAACTTCTCATCAGAAAGTGGGCGCCGTCGGCGCTAATGTGCGGGGCCCCGCATCATAATTATTTAGGACCAATTTGCTCGCCGTGTGGAGGTGGCATGCCTGGCCTCGATCGAGTTTCCATTTGAGACCGAAAAATGGATGGTCGGGATAGTGATAGACCGACACCACAAGAGCTCTCTCATCGTGATATCTGAAAGCCTAAATGCTCGATGGGAACCTGCAACTATAAGTAAAGCCCTCCCCCGCCCTTGAGCCTTAAGGGCCTGTGAGGACTACAAAGAGCATTCTCAGCCCGAAAGATCTCGTTGACCTAATTGCGCTACAATGAAGACAATCAAATGGTCCACTCTAGTAAACCTTCTATTGATCCCAGCAGCGGTCAACGCAAAGCCATTTGATCACCGTGAACTCCTAGGCCGCGATGTTGAAATTGGTCAACTTCCTATACCATCCACTTACGACGCGCCTCGCTTCCGGTGGTGGTGGCCCGGGGGGTGGGTGGAACCTGATGTTTTGAAGAGCGAAATGCAGTCTATCGCCGCGGCGGGATTTGGTGGGGGGGAGATCAGTGATGTTCAGGATAGCATCAAGGTCTCGATGGACCCACGAATATATGGATGGGCAAGAGATCGGTGGAATGCAGGGGTGCTCGCTGCCTATAAGACAGCCGAAAGGTAAGTGACTTGATTCAAAGGGTGGGGCGAGGAAGTTGATTCCTTCTTGCTGACCAGAACAGGCTGGGCGTTTATGTGGACATGACACTGGGTCCCCACTGGCCAACTGGAGTTCCGGGCTTTAGTCCAGACTCCCCAGAAACCTCCAAGGAATTGGTCCATGGAAAGCTGCTGCTTGCGGCTGGTCATTCTTACTCGGGATCTCTTCCTCTTCCTGTGGCCAAACCATCTGGAGAGGAGACTGGCAACCCATCGGTAAACGCAACCGCGAAGCTGGTTGCCATTCTGGCTGCCAGAACCAGTGCAGCATCAGCCAATCAAACGGTCGTGGCGTTTGAACCGTCCTCAGTTTTGAATTTGACGAAATATTATCACAAAGATCAACTGTGCTGGACGGCGCCGAAGGATGGGACTTACATCGTCGTTGCAGTGTACGGCAGAGGGACGGGACAGATCCAGAATATGTACGACGGGAACCCCAATGCCCCCAAGGTCACCTATCCTTCCCCAGCCTACATCGTCGACCATTTCTCCACTGCGGGCGTAGACGCCTCTGTGAACTATTGGAACAATCATATCCTGAATGACGAGTTGCGCCAAATCATGAAGAGCCAAGGAGGGTCCATTTTTGAGGACTCGCTCGAGCTCAAGTACAAGCAATATTGGACATTGAACTTCATGGAGGAGTTCCAAAAGCGACGAGGTTACGATTTAACCCCGTACCTCCTCTACGTCCTAAAAGATAGCACCACTTTTATCGGCAATGACGAAGTTGCCAGGGGAGTCGGGTATGATTTTTACTCCACAATCACAGATCTATACATTGACTACCGCGTTCAAGGGTTGAAAAAGTTTGCCAATGGACTCGGGCTAAAACTTCGCCTGCAGCCCTACACAGCGACACTCAACTCTTCACGGGCAGCCGCAGCGGTTGATATTCCCGAGGGCGAGTCCCTCGGCTTTGAGGGTGACAAAGATGCTTTCAGGGTTTTGGCTACCGGTCGAGATGTGGCCGGTCGTACGAAGATCCTTTCCAACGAACTCGGCGCCTACATGGGCAAGGCATATGGAGTCACTTGGAACTTCCTTCTTGGGACTGCAAATCTGGATTACTCTCTCGGTGTCAGTCACGCAGTCATCCATGGCTTTCCATACCGTGACTCGCCCTCAAGTGCATGGCCTGGGTTCGCACCTTTCACGCCGCTCGGCTCGTCGAGTAATGGGTTTGCAGATGCGTGGGGCCCGCGGCAGCCTCAATGGCTTTTCGCGTCGAATGCGAGTATCTACATGGCCCGCGCCCACAACATCCTGCAAACAGGCTCGCCATCGGTAGATGTGGCTATTTTAAATACCGATTGGGGAGTCACGGCAACGTGGAAAGATACTGGATTGAACGATGCGGGATATTCCTACCAGGTAAGGCCATCTGGGGTGGAAGCCAGGGCGTCATGCGGGATTGAGTCACTGATCAAAAGCCCAATAGTTTCCTACTGCAGAACTACTCAGAGAATACTCCGCCACCGTCAAGAACAAGCATCTTCTCCCTGACGGTCCTCGATACAAAGCAATTCTGGTTGATAACACGACTTACTTGGACCCCGATACCGCGAGGCAAATCCGCTCGTTCGCCGAGTCAGGTCTACCGGTGGTGATTGTTGGAGACGCCCCGTCTCAACCACAGTCCTTCTGCACCGACTGTTTCAGGGCCAAAGATCAAATAAAGGAGATCTTCAAGTCAGTCTTGTCACTACAGACAACGAAACAAGTCTCCTCCCAAGCCGATGCTCCTGCAGCTCTCAGGTCCCTTGGCATCAATCCATCTGTCCGGTACTCTACGTCATCTAACGTGTCCTTAATCACTACCAAACGTCGCGTCAGCGATTCCGAGTCCATCTACTTTGTTTACAGCTCTGTCGCGCTTACCGAAACAGTTTCTTTAGAGGGGGAGGGTTATCCGCTCATGCTCAACCTCTGGACTGGGGACGTTACGCCCCTCGCTGCATTCGACACAGCTGATGGGTACACCAGAGTCAACCTGTCCCTGGGCGAGAATGCGGCGCAAGCGCTTTACCTCGGCAAAAAGAATCCATATGGCCTTCGTAACCTCAGCAGATATGTCACTGCGACTGATGCCAGTGTTTTCGCCCAATCGGAGAATATATATCTGCAAACCAGCAAGAATGGAACTCACAGTGCAAAACTTTCAGACGGAAGGTCCGTCAATGTTGCGTTCGGCAACGTGCCATCTCCAATTGCACTCAAGTCTTGGGTATTATCCGTCGAGGACTGGTCCCCTTTGATCGTGAATGAAACTGGGCTCAAGTCATCCCTGACTTCCAAGGTTACTTTACCGAGTATCAGTCTGAATAGTCTCGAGTCGTGGACTAATATTTCTGGATTGGAGAGTGCAAGTGGCATTGGTACTTATAGGACGACCGTGAACCTATCCCTGGGTTTGTCGAGTAACAGCTCTGGAGAGGGTCTTGCGGTCTTCATCAACTTCGGTGATGTCGGGGGGAGTTGGGGCTTGAAAATCAACAATGTCCCGGTAAATGGAGTTGACTTCCTAAGCTCGGCGCCCCTTGAGATTACTCCTTATGTGAAAAATGGGCCCAATGGTATGTCCTATCTGCCTTGGATGGTAATGCTGCTGCTGACGAAGGGCAGATCTCGAGATCACAGTTGCTACTACGTTGTGGAATAAACTACGGAAGACGTGGCCCGCCATTTACGGGTCTCTCGAGGTACAGAAAGTCGGCCTTCTCGGACCTGTTACTCTGACGTACTATGCTCAGAAGCAAATTTGATCATACTTTTCGTGTTGCACAAGATGGGGGAAAGAGACTACTGAGATGGTATGCATCCGCCGAGCAATAGGACTAGGGTGTGTAACCAGGAGCCACGATCTTTGAGCGTAACAGTGATCAATGTATATGTCTGTTCATATTTTAGATGCGAGATAGAAGCGGTACTATCGCATCCGCACGCTAATGGAATTCTGAACACCATGTCTCTTATTCCCCTATGTCCAACACCTCCAAAGCTCTCTCAAGGTAGCTTGTTTAGGCCGGTTCCTAGCTTGATGGTTCGATCCTATGGGACAGATATTAGCAGGCAATGTATGTGCTAGAGAGACTTCAGAATGTATGCACACGGTGACAACTGACCACAATGCCCGTCGGCATGTACTTGGACATGGCCTTCACCATGGAAGCCATTCCTCCACGCCATACGGGACCTGAGGCTCCTCCCAGAATATCCTGAACAACCTGGCGAGCAAAGTCATCCGGCGCGCTCTTGTTTGAGACATCCTTCCCGGCACCGCGTGTTTGAATCTCTGGAAGTGCTTTGTGGTAGAGGGAGCTTTGGGGCAGGGTCAGATTGGAATGTGACATAATATTTGTGGCGACGGTGCCGGTGACAAGAGAGATAACTCGGATTTTAAAGGGCTGTAGCTCCAATCAAAGAGTCTCGCTCCAAGACATTAGAGCAGACTTGGAGGCGTTGTAGATACATGGCATAAGGCATTAGCGAGTAAACTATTCAGCAATATTTGATTGGACCGCCTTGTATGGGGAAGACAGACTCATCCAAGGGGCATACAAAAAGCCCGAAATAGAACAGACGTTCACAATGACACTGCCATTCGCAGCAACCTTCAGCAAGGGCATAAAGGCCTGGGTGACGGCGAGAACACACCAGAAATTGACATCAAAGGTTAGGGTTTACATTAGGGTTTACATTAGGGTTTACATTAGGGTTTACATTAGGGTTTACATTAGGGTTTACATTAGGGTTTACATTAGGGTTTAC